ATATTTTTATTATTTTTATTATTATCTATTATTTATTATTTTTATTATTATCTATTATTATATAGCAAGCTACTAAATAAGTGTTATTAAATTAAATTTTATTTAATAAAGGTAATGAAAACGTATGTAACGTTTTATTTTAGATCTATAAGTAAGCTGATAAAACTATTTTCATATAATTTTTTTATTTCGTGTGAATTTACGACATTGGCGTTTATTACGTGATTTAAAATTAGAATTTTTCAAACTGAATAATTTGCTAAAGCTCTGTTCATTTATTTTTAAATATCAAAGAGCTCATTATTAAATTTCGAAGAAACCGAAAAAAAATTGATAATCTAATATTTAATTAATTTTAAGTCTTAATCTGTGAAATGATTTGATTGATGTTGAAACAATTGTGTGAATTATTTTTTACAACTCGTTTAATATGTCATCATACTAATTTCATATCATACTAATTTTGCGATTGATGTATTTATTGCAATATGTGGGATTTTCCAGACAATTTACTAGAATTTTATTCTTTTTACTCTCACTTTATTTAAATGCCAAACATCTTGCATCTTGATTTCGCTGACTATGCCATAGAAAAATTTTTTGTTAGTGTATTGCAATCGACAACCTTTCACGGGATGAATTGATTGGTTTAAGAGTTTTAAAAATGTCTATTGAAAAGTGATCGAAATATCACGTTCTTTAACTTCTTGAACTTTTTATTTAATTTCGTTCTACAAAATTAATTTTCAAGTAAAACTATGAATTTTCGATTATTAGCCATTTAAACAATCAGATATCTCATTTAAGTCCTTTGCCTATGTAGAAGTCGATGTAGCAACCGCGATACGTGAAAGATTAAATGACCGCATATCTATAAATCTCTTCGATTCAAAGTACTTTCGTCATTGAAGACATTTTTTTTTAAGTGCCGCTTGTGTCCCTATGTTCTCGTCTTATGATGGAGTTCTTCGAGAGAATGCATCATGAGAGGATACAAAGCGGAGTCACACTTGTACCTCGGCCGGACATATTCGTCGGTATGTATCAATAGTCTTGCGAGATAAACTGGGATAGGTTGAGGCATATAGGTGAGGCTTCGTAGGTATGTGGCCGGTTCGTGGTAGCTCGCGACGACGACACGATGACGACGGTGGCGGCAGCGATGGTGGTGCCGACGAGGACAGACGAGGATGACGGCAGTGATGATGACGATGGTATCGATGGTGGTGATAGTGGTCGCGATGATGGTGATAGTGGTGGTACACAGGTGCTGTATGGCATATCGGAATGCCAAATTGTTGCGCCACTGCCAACGTGTTTGGCCGAGTTCGGCGGCCGGCTAAAGCGAGGTCTAGTCGAGTCGAATTGCCCAACGCGCGTTGTACTTTTCACTTTCCCTCACCCCTACCTACGTACGCTTGGCGTGAAATTTTGCCTAGGTAGAGACCAGGATTGACCGATCTAACGAACACCAATGGCCCAGAATCTGCAATCGTGAGTTTGTTCGCGCAATTCGCATATCCGGGCCGACCGCGCCGATTTTTCGAATGTGCCCCCTTTTCAACGATGAAGTCAATTTTAATGATCTCCCTATTAATAATTATGATATTCGCCCTTTGTCGAACGAATTCCATTGATTTTTCCGACTATCTCGCAGTAAGATGATTTGTCAAATATTTTCCGTTTTTATCATGACTTTGGATGGTCTTTGGTCATTCATTTATGCGTAGCATAAATCGAGCTTGCATTTCGCAAAATATTTTATTTCAATTTCGTCTCGTAATAAAGAATCCTATTAATCGATAAAATAAATTAAATAATTAATAAAATTAATTAAATTTTAATTATAAACTTATGTGTATGGATTATAATTAAATATTGAATGCCTATTTAAATAAATACAAAAATTTAAAAAAATACTTTCTGAAATGTTTTAAGCGTAAATAATAAATAATAAAAATAAAAGGTGTAAATAATAAATAATATAAAAAATATATTTTTTAAGTCATTGTATCGTAAATTTATGTAATTATACCGTAAATGATTTACATATTAAAATTTTTTATTTATTTTAATAGCATATAAGATAATTTTGGTTTATTTTTTTTTCAAGTAGAGAGAGGATGCAATACTTTTTACTTAAGAGATAAATAATTTAGAAGCTACAAATGTGAAACGTATTATCGCGTAATTCGTTTCAAGTCTACGCAATGTATTTCATTGCAAGTTTCGTGAAATACTTCGTAGACAAAGTATAAAGCATTAATCATCGCAGTTTTTCCCATTAATTTAAAGCGTGCAATTGATTTAAAGTCATTATGGTCATCGCTGCGAGAAATCCGCGATGAGAGACCTATTTTTGATCTTAAACTGTAAAAGTATTTTTCTTTGCACGCAAGAAAAACTAGTAACGAAATACATTCCGTAAACTTCAGTGATGGGTGAATCTATCTTTAATTATCAAAATTTTCTATCTTTAGTTTTCCCAATAATTATATTGTTCTAACACGTTATAAATTCTATTGCGTCACTGTAATTGGTACTTAATGCCTGATTCTCATCTGAAAAACCTGTTGTTAGAACGGTGGTACATTGCGTCGAAAAATAGATTCGTAGGAGGAAAGCAAACACACTACGCGCCTCGACAGACGATTAGCATAGTTCACGTATTGTCGATGTGCACCCTTTAAATCTTTAAAGCACACTCAATGGGTCAGTGTCTATCCATTCACTTTCAACAACGTGGGTTATTATCGGCATGACACGAAACCCAATGCGTTGTGCAAGAAGAAGGTATCACGAATCGGTTTTGATCCGATATGAAAAAAAATCGTTCGCGCTACTATCGCACATTCGTAATTCGGAACATTGAGTCGTGTTGCACTTTTGCGTTATACTTGCTTGGCATTATTGCGTATAATCGTGTGTACGAACCGACAAACATCCAACCGGCTTAAATTATACGCTATATTACGAGAAAAGAATTCCTTTTTTAAAAGATAATAATTTTTTTCTTTACGTCAAACATATAATTTATCTTAAATTGATCGATATAATTCGGAGCAAATTTTTATCTCTATGATTTTCTACGTTAAATCGTGTTTAAAATTGTGTAATTATATGTGTTAGAAAAGATTCCGGTTATTCTTCTATTATATTTTTTAAATTTAATCTAAATGCATCGTTTAAAAATTGCGCATATTGTTTGTGTGTTTAACTCTAATTCTCCTTAATTCTTAATTCAAATCCAATTGACATATAAATGATAGTTTAAGTTTATATTTTATTTTAGTTTAAAAAGAGATATTTTAGGATTTAATTTAAGTGTACCCATTTAAAAATTGCATATATTGTTTGTTTTAATTTTATTTCTCTTTAATTTTTAGTTCAAATTCTTTAAACATCGTATGAGTAGTAATTCAAGTTTATTTATATTAGTTTAAGAAGAGATATTTTTGAATTTGATTTAAATACACTATAAAAATTGTTGATTTTTATTTGTTTTTTAATTTTAATTCTCCTTAATTATTAATTCAAGTTCTTAAAATAGATAGATGAGTGATTTGTATTAATTTCAGAAGAGATGCGACTCGATTGACTCACCAACTGTACAGTAGTTAGATGCTTTTTCCACCATAAGTACTTTTGAAATTCTGGGCCCATGGCCGTTAACATGTAATATGCGTACATGACTACGTGTACCGCATTGTTTATGAGATTGCCCAGGGTGCCATGACCACCCGCAATAAATTTCACGCAGATCCACGTCTCGAGGGGTGTTAGAGAATGGTGATACAAATGGAGGAATGTCACCTGACTATCCTTCTTGCGCAATATGAAGAATACCTGAAATTTCGATAAACAATGTCATTATGAAATTTTGCAAGCTTTTGCAATTTCCTTACTTAGCTTGACTTTAGATTCATTGACCTATGATTTAGTATCGCGTCCGCTTCCTCTGTCGTGACCTCAAATAAATTGAAAGTAATGCGAATTAATAAGGCATATAAGCCTCGGCTATTCCGAAATTAAGAAAATAGAATTAAGAAAATAGAATTAAGAAATACTTTTTACTAAGGAATTTATTTCTCTTTAATTTTTAATTCAAACTTATTTCTCCTTAATTTTTAATCAATCAAAGGCGTTAAAATTTTGGAATCTTATCACTTAAAATTATATATTAATGGTTTAAAAATAATTTATCATTACTTAATTTTAAATAGTTTATTTACTTTGTTTTAGTTTATTATATATTATATTTTATTATTATATTTTCGAATTAGTTTAAGTTTTAAAATAAAAAGAAATAATAGAACAATCTTATCGTTTATTTTGAAAGGAAAGAGTAAGTAATATTTTATTGTCATGTTAATTGCCGGTAATGCGAGGCTCGAGTTGTATTTCGTGGAAAATATCTACGTTTATTAACGGAAACGCGATGATTTTCGTCATCCAGGCACGATAGAACGCGATAGTGGAAACATATACCGGCGTCAAAATTGAGCAACGAATGACGAAAAAGCCCGTTTCACGATGATTCCTGCATTCGGTTGAATTTCGCACACGCGGTGTCGAAAATCTGTTTAAGCGCTTTCTCTCTTTATATCTCACTTTTTCGTTTTGCTGGCAAAGCTAAACACCCCCTTTACGAATTGTCGGGTTAGAATACCTAACAAACGAGTGGCGATCGGTCGATTAAATCTTATCTGCTCCTTTAATCCGCTGGTATTGCGTGCTCGACAGCGATTCGGCACCGTTCTTGCTCACTCGCGCTAATGGGAATGATTGCTTAAGGGTTATTGCGCCGCGAGAAGGGATACACGAGTGTTCATACATAATTATGCGATTCTCGCGGAATAGCTAGCGGGGAATAGTTTTCCACTTCTCTCTTTTTTCACCTTTACTGTCTGTTTACGCGTATACATTCATTGAAAATGCAGAGCGTTCACCAGATCCCGGACAAACAAGAGATAACGCAATACGTTTTTCTTAGTTGATTGCGTGTAATTTTCGAAAGAAAAGTAAGTTTGCGCGAATTAAGAATCGAAAGCATTTTTCGTCCTTTTATTCGAATTAAATTTGATCTAACAGAATTTTTTGTATCTCGCGTGACTGAAACTGGTTTTAATTACTTTGCATAGAGATAACTCAGTATATTGATATATGACATAATTCCGTTTTATTTCCAAACCTGAGGTAAATATTTGCAATAACTTTTGTTTTTAAATTAAGAAAGGATCTAAATAAAAATACAAATGCCATAAATACAGAGGATTATTTCTTTTTAATAGAATATAAGAAAAAGTTTCATGTATCTTGATATATATGCGTTTTCTAATAAAAAGATATGCATCTCAATAGCATAATTTTATGCTTTGCTATTTCGGTAGCTTCAAAAAGAATCGAAAGACATTTTTATTTTCATTACATTTTATTTATTTGTTTTTACGAATTTAATACACGCACAAATTTAATTAACAATAAATATAATTATAATGTATTTCTTCGTATTAGGATTTCTTTATTTAAAATTTAATGAAATTTCAAATTAATCAATTTGCAGGTTCTGTAATGACTATTGTTAGTGTAACACATATGTGAATTTATAAAAATGACACGTACCGTGTCAGCGAATTCCGTAAATTTGCTGATGAAGTACCACCAACAAAGGTTTGCCATCCTCAAAGCGGATGGATTGTGGGAGTAATCAACTGGTTGACATTTATAGCTGTAGTCCAACAGCCATCCGGACATTAAATGCTGTAAATGAATGAGAAACATTCAGTTAACTGTATTAATTACCTTTGACGTAACAACTTATTCTTGAGCGATATTCTCGACTTAATCTCATAAATTATTAAGATAGATAATAGATAGACCACAAATCGTTTATTTCGACATTAACAAGAAAGTTTAGAACGTTCGAAATCATAATGTAGGCTGACGTAACGTAATTTCGTGTAATATCGGTTTGAACAAATATTGATTTTATTTCATCATGTCAGAAAAAATGATAACTATGTTTCTCGTCGGTGCGAGAGATGACGAAAGAAAACAAATTATAGTTATTGAACGGAAGAGGAACACTATAATTTAGATAATTTATAGATATATATTTTATATTTCTTTTAATATATTTATAGTACTATTTAGTAGTACTATTTATAATTACCATTAGCATTTAAAATCAATTTGATATCACTCTTGCATTGTTTTTGGTGTCCTCGATTCGATTATAAATCGGTCCGAAAGTCTACCTTGAAAAGACTGTGTTACACATGTTACCAATTTTCATACAACGAATGACAGCAAGTATAAATCTGTTTCAGGAGAAACTATAGGTTTTGAGGTCATGTTCCATTTAACATATCCAATCTTTAGAAAAAGCACTGTTATGTTGATACTCATCTCAATGTTGGCTCTTGATTATTAATTCTGATGATTAATTCTTTCGCTATATGTTGCGTATACTTTGAATATTAGCAGCTGTCGTTGTGGAAACTATGAGTTCTGACAATTCGACAGATATGATCATAATATGAATAATTTCATTAATTTTCTTCTATACAGATAGGAATCGCGATTGCGCATTTTTTACTTTTCGTTTAGTGTCATTCGGAAATATACAGACTGCAAATCTTAAAAATTTTATTTAAATAACATGAAATAAATAATATAAAAATATATATGATAATAAAGATAATATATGATATAAAGATAATAAAGATAATATAAGATAATATATGATAATATAAAAGATAATAAAAACATACATGAATAAAAATGACAAACTTATGCCTCATTTTAATTTATGATAATTATAATAATTTATGCAGTATTATACTTAAAAAAGAAGTGTCTAATTTTAAGATATTAAAATTTTTATTTTTTGTCTTTTTTAAACGCTTAAAGATGTTTTAATTTTGAACTTTTTTTAATAAACAAAACTAAAAGCATCTTTAAATGTTTAAAAAATGGGGACAAGAATAAAACACATTTCTTTTTATAGTGAATTAAAAGGTTGAACTGATATTAAAGCAAAGTCAATGTCAATTGAGCTGAGAAAATTAATAGAATGAACGCATACGAATGTATGTATAATTATTGATCCTAATCACATGAACTTCACCTGATAATGCTTTATCTTTAAATCGTTTATATAAATTATTATGATTTTGATATTTTCTTGTTTGAATTTTCTTCCGTCGATCTTAATCAATATTTCCGCGAATTTTACCATCATGTATCAATATAACATACATAAATTAGAATTAGAATTAACTTC